AATGTATATCAATTTGATTTTTTTTTTTAATTGAGTAGTAAGATGTGACCACAAGGAGGCATATTCAGACGAGTGTTTGTGAGAGGTATATGGAACCAAGAGTTGCAAGCATTTCTTTCACGATACTCATGACAGTGACTTGAAAACGCTTCACTAGGTTAGTTCCTTTTTTTTGCCAACCTTGATCTTCACTAGGTTAGTTTATTGAGCTATTTTTTTTTTTTAATTCCAAATATATAATATATATTCGGTGAGGGTTTTAGGAGTTTAGATTTCTGAGGTTCGTATGAATGTGAAACAAATCATCGAGCTTTGATTTTAATGAGATTGTTCAGTTTATAAACTATCAGTGTTGGTTATTGTTGTATATGATGAGTTTCTAATCAGCACCTCTTTTGTGCCTTGAAATCTGGTCGTCTAGAAGAAAAAAAGGTCATCTTCTTTTGCGTGAAGGTAAAATATAAAACAAATTGAAGAAAAATACTAGAAGAGCAAGGGCTGCAAGATAAGTTATTCTTTTGCTTATACAAAGAGAAAGCATGTCCTCTGAAAATGACAAAAACATCTACCCATTCTTCTTCAGTTTGCTATCTAGAATTGTCTTCAAAATAGAAATTTCTTCTTAAAAAATTATATTCGTCAGACAATTCCCTTAATTTAACATTTGATACTTTTTGTTATTTATTTTATTTTATTGATATTCATTATATACAACATATGAAATTGATGTTTATCGAACACTTATCCAAAGCCATTCTAGCTGTTCTATTTAAATTTTAACTAGTTTTTGACCCGTGCGTCCGCGCGGATTTTTTTTTTGATAACTATGTGTTTTTAACTTTTGAAAATGACAAGTTAAATTGTTATACTTATTAAATTATAGATTCGTATGTTATTCAGATTTGACATTGGTGTGTATTGTTCAACGTGATTGACCTTTATTTATAAATTATGAGAATGTACTTTTTTCTTGTGCTTTTATTTAATTTATTTGGTAAAGTATTAGAGATAAGGGTAAGCACTTCGGTTATTTACTCGGTTTGGTTTGGGTTCGGTTCGGTTTAGTTAATTCGGTTTTAGATTTTTTCCAACTGAAGTGAACCATAATTAATTTGGTTTGAATCAGTTTGGTTAATATTCGGTTCGGTTTGTTTTTCGGTTCAGTTTGATTGTGCACCCTTAGTTTAGTTCGTTTAAGAAAAATATATTTTAATACTTAAATGTATGTCCATGAAATCATCACGTGATGGCAATAAATAATAAATTATTAAATTATCAAATTATAGATTCGTATGTTATTCAGATTTGACATTGATGTGTCTTGTGCAACTTGATTGACTTATTTATAAATTATGAGAATTTTTTTTCTTGTGCTTTGTTTAATTTATTTGGTAAAGTGAACAGTAAAATATTAAAGGTAAGAGTGAGCACTTCGGTTATTTTCTCGGTTTGTTTGGGTTCGATTCGGTTTAGTTAATTCGGTTTTAGATTTTTTTCCAACTGAAGTAAACCATAATTAGTTTGGTTTGAATTGGTTTCGATTTGGTTTATATTCGGTTCGGTTAAATTGTGAACTCTTAATTTAGTTCGTTTAAGAAAACATATATATTTTAAAACTTAAGTGTATGTCCATAAACGTATGTCCATGAAATCATCACGTGGTGGCAATAAATAGTAAATCATATAAATTAAATCCAATATAAAATTGAATAAAAACTTTTAAAACCCACAAGAAATTAATAAGAGCATATTCAAATCAAAGTTCATTAAAATAAATATATATATTTTAAAAATAACGAACATCATTACTAATGTCTCTTATACTAATCAAAAGTCTACAATTAATCATCTCCCATGTGACATTATAAATTTTATACGTAATCTATACGAGTATTTATTTATATCTTCACTCAAATTCCATATTTAAAACCTATACTCATTATTCCATTATTATAAACCTAATATATTAGTTCTATTAACTAAAATTGAAAACAGAATATGAATTTATTTTTAAAACTTTAGTATATCTATATTGCTAATATGTTTAATTAAAATAATAACAAAAATAATGATAATGAGTATTTAATAATGACTTTGGTTTGGTTTGGTTCGGTTTTAATTCGATTCGGTTTCGGTTTCGTTTGTTCGGTTTGGAAATATCTTAAACCAAACTATTTGATAATGACTTTGGTTTGGTTTGGATCGGTTTCGGTTCGGTTAGTTCGGTTTGATTCGGTTCGGTTTTTTGGAACATCCCTAATTAGAGGTCTAAGTATACTTGTGGCATTTATTAAATTAAATTATAAATATTTTATTTTAAAGTTGAATATAATAATCAATTTTTATTAAGAATTTTAAAAACAAACACATTAGTTCGACAAACAAAACAATAATGAAACCAAGTTAACAAAAATACATTTAAAAAAGTTCAAAAGGCACAACGTATCATCAGTTATCTTAGTAAAAATAAATACAAAAATGGAACATCAGTTTATCCAGATTTTTTTTTACTTATGGCACTAACATTGAATAAATTATTGTTAACTGGTTTTGGTTTAACGCAATATTTTATATTGGGTAAGTGGAAATATTTCTTGGCATGATGTATTACACAATTATTACTTTACTTAATTGACGTTATCTTAATTGCATAATTACTGGCATAGTGCGAATACTTTTTGGCATAATGTAGTACAAAAATATAGGGTAGAGAAAATGTTAAACTACAGTGTTTTGATCAATGGCATATGCTTGTAATTATTGAGAAAAATTTAGGGTAATTATTTATTTGTACTTCAGTTTTAATATTTTAGATATAAATAAATGTTTCAAAGGTTTACAAATGACTCCCATTAGGGACTGCATGGATTACTTTGTACTCAACTTCACTTCAAATATGTTGTACTATCAATGTGGTCGAGAAAAGACAACTGGTCTAAATGAAAATATGAAACTATACCTTAACAACTTTTATGCATATGAAGTTATACTAATGGACAACAAGCAGAATATATATTTTTTGGCATCATCTACACAATAAGATTATGCAATGTGTTTTGGTTTGTTATATGCGTTGGAACATCTATTAATCCAACTATTACTGTGCATCAAATTTTGAACCTTTAGTCAAAAAAAAAAAACAATTTTGAACCAATAAAGTAATATGTTAACAATATATTGTACAAAAAAACTTGATATAAAAAAGATTTGACGGGAAGAAAAAATGGTCACGGGCTTTAATAAAAAAAATTGGTTAACCTGAAAATGTTACTAAAATTTCCATCTGTTTTCAATTAATAGTGCAAAATAAACGATAAATAAAGAAGACATTTTATCTAACTAACAATAATTTATCGAATTTAAGATTTTAGGTATGTTTACTATCATATCTCATTGCTGATATTATGTGTAAAATTTATATACAACATAATAAAAACTAAACATTTTAAATTGATTAAACTATATAAATTATGTATCAAAGTAATCAAATAATATTAAAAACACTCGGCGCGTAGCACCGGTAAACCCCTAGTATTGTATAAAAATAAGATTGTAACAATGTTGAAAATTACTGGTCCGTAAATTAAGTAGGTTTCTAACAAATCTAAAAGAGTCCAAAAGTTAATGATAACTTTTATGGTAGATAAATTTAGGACTCTGTTTTAAATAGAGTATACTAGATTTTGATCCGCGCTTTCAAAGCGCGGGTTTATGTTTGATGCAAACTTTATATAATCGCATTTCCTATACATGTAAGATGTGGGATAGACTTGTTTAGTTTATTAATTTCATCAAACATAATATTTTTAAAAATGCAGGATAATCTTTCGGTGAAAATTTTATATGACCGCATTTTTCTTTAATATAAAGTAGATATTTGTATAAAATCCATAACTCGACGTCTAACTCAATCTAAACAAAAAAAGTTTTGGATCCGTAACCGGTCAAAGATCTAAAATATAAGAATGAGTTTTGTAGGATGGTACAAAATATATCCAAATCAAAGTGTTATTAGCCAGACCCGGATGAATAACCCAAAAACCAAAAAATATGGAAAAAATCTGAATCAATCGGAATGTTCAAATTAATCATAAATATAAATATTTGAAACATAAATATCTAGTTTAAATATTCAGTTCTATATTTATTTTAAAATGATATTTAAAATCAATTATCTAAATTTTAAATAAGTACTTGAATATTCAATTCTATAAAAATAAATATCTTTTTTGTTTGTGTTTTAGATTTTAGATTTTCAAGCCAGTATAACCCAAATCCGAACGATATATGGTTACTTTATCGATTTTAGGATGTGTACAAATTAGAATCAAACCCGGCGTATTATATTTGAATCTGATCCATACATACAAACATGCTTAACTACAAATTATGACACCTATGATGTGATATAAATTAGATTTGATTCAGAATATTCGATCTGTATCCCAATAGGTACTTGAACTCCCAAACATGACTTAAATTATGTTTTATATTTTGTTAATTAAATTAATTTTATATTTGATAAATATTTTGTGTATTTATTGGAATAACCCGTAAAATTATAATCATAAAAATATCAGCAATAACGGTGCTTCTGTTTTAACAGTATTGATACTATGAGAAGTGTAGTTATTTTGTAATGTTTTGGTAGAGTTTCATAGTCAAAAACATAAAATCTAATAATTTTATAGTTTTAGATGAAACTTTTGAATGATCTAGCTAAAATCACAAGTGATTTCGTAATTAATTTAAATTATATCAAATAAAATCATTTCAGATACATAATTTAATACACATTGATATTGTTGTATAAGTGAAATCGAACCGAAACTAAACCATCCACCAAACTGAACCAATCTCGTTATGTTAGAAAGTTTGTCATAAAACCGTAAACCAAATAAATTGAAAAGTGAAAATCAAACCGTAAACCGGAATGTGGTTGAGATTGCTTAAACCCATCATTGCTGACGATCACACGGCGCAAGAAACATCACACAAACCCTAATTAAGCAAACCAAAATAAGAGACTTGAGAATCAAAATCAAATCTCCCTTCTTTTTTATTATAATTAATTAATAAATGGTAAAACCAATTCCTATCACAACAGTTCTAAGAGGAGCGTCAACTGCAGCCTCCAAATTCATCAAATCATCGAAACCCATCCGACCCATCTCCTCCAACAACACCATGGCTAGTCCCAACAAAGACTCCTCTACCGCCGCCACTTCCAGCGAAAGTAGCCGCCGCAGCGTCCCGCTTTCCGCGGTGGTAGCGGACTGTGCGAAACGGTGGTTTCAAGACACTCTTGAAGAAGCAAAAGCCGGGAACATCACTATGCAAGTTGTATTGGGTCAGATGTATAACTCTGGCTACGGAGTTCCCAAAGATGCTCGAAAGGTTTCAACTTTTTTTTCAATCTCTTTAGGGTTTAATGAAGAAATCAATCTTTGATTAATTAAGCGAATTGAATTTATGAAAAAGTTTGTGTTTTTTTATGCAGGGGAGGGTTTGGATTACGAAAGCATCAAGAGTTCGTTCATCAGTGTGGAAAGTGCAGGCTAAACGACCAGGTTACAACGCGTCTGATTCAGATTCAGATTCAGAATCTGAGTAGCATGTAAATCGTTTGTCGAGAAAGATCTTTGTTTTGTGTTCTGTTTGGTCTCATTTTGGGATGTTCCAAGTTCATACAATAAACAATGTGTCTTGTCTCCGCGCAAATCATTTTTGTGTCTTTATTATATATGTTTCTGTTTCATCTTTTGTGAAAGCTGTTGTTGATTTTGTATGTTACTAGCAATGAAATTCTGTCACACCAATGTAGCAGTTTTTGTAAGGAGTTAGTCCAAAGATGTTAAGAAGCTTCGTGAAGGTGTCTATAATTAAAGATCTTAAGAAGTCCGCAAAGCCTTGAAAAAGCTACGTTCTGTTTAAACTCAGCGAATCCATAATTAGATGCTAACAGTAATGTGTCAAACAATAATAGTACAGTTAACTGAAAGTACTATTCTTATAGACCAAATCATTTATAAAAATAACAAGACTAAAAGCAACAGAATTCACTTGTTTGGAGAAGCCAGCAAATATATGATGCACAGTAAATCGTTTGTTGTGTTAATCCTTTTGTCAGAACCTCTCCTACATAGTTGCTTGCGGCGCAGTCATCAAGTTGATGCTAAGTCCCATAATATCTCGGTTTCTTCATTTCTTGTAGTCTAGGTTACGTTGACGATTGTTGCTGGCGCCATAGAGGTGCTTACAGCTCTTGGTCAGGACTGGATCTGGGTACCATCCTATGAAATATTGGATTTGACCCCAACAATTTTAGAGATTTTTAGTCATAATCTTTTAAATTATTTAAATCCTTTTTATGAAAGTTCTTTAAAAAGTATTTATAGTCTTCAAAATCTCAAATTCGATTCTGCCGTTGATGGCAAGTTTTGTGATCGACTGGTAATCTGATGAGGAATCGAGATTAGTCCATTTTAGATAGTTGAGTATCTATTCCATATGACAAAAATCTGATGGGCAAATAATTTTTTTTTTTTTTTGAGGAAGCAAATGAAAACTAACTCTGACTACACTAATAACCACTTTAATTCAGAGGTTTTGCTAATTAATCACACTCCTAATCTTTACTCGTGTGCTTCAAAAAAGTTAAAAGAAGACCTTCTCTACTACCTGTCAAAAATTCCCATGATCCTCCAAAAATGTTATGAAGTCGTATTTTCATCCAAATTAACTGAACAACAAAAGATTACACGTGGCAGTCAGAAAGACATACAAAAGGATGATGAGAGCCGCCTCATTCAAAGTCAAGGCCACAAGGTCTGACCATCTCCATCTTCTAAGATTTTCAACGGTCAAACTTTTTATCACCTTCCCAGAAACTACATTTTATTTCATTTTGTGACATCAAAAAACAAAAACTAACCAATCAGAACGTTCAGTATGTTTTATATATACAGACATAAAACTAAACATTTTGAAGAACCCATCACATCTTCTTCGCCCCCTTGTCCAAGGCTCTCCTTAAGAAACACTTTCTATATATATCTGAAGTTGGTCTTTCTTAAAATAAAGAAAGCTTCAATTGTTTTTATGTATGGCTGCTTCTTCTCTCTTTCCTATAGACAATAGCAGAACCACCAGACAAAACATGAATGGTTCTGCTAATTGGTCCCAACAAACGGGAAGAAGATCATCAGCAGCTTTGGAAGATCTTGAAATCCCAAAGTTCAGATCTTTTGCTCCTTCTTCAGTCTCAATCTCTCCTTCCACTTGTTTCAGTCCCTCTGTTTTTCTTGATTCCCCTGCTTTTGTCTCCTCCTCTGCTAACGTAAGCCTCTCTGTTTTACTCAATTTTCTTTATAGATGAATTTGAAACTATTGATTATATGGGTTTGGCTCTGTTTTTTGAAAAGATCATTACTTTAATTATTTTGTATTCAAGAAAATGAATTATGATCGGATGTGATAAAGTCAATGAGTCAACGGTTTTCTCTTAGAGTCATTCTTGATGATATTCTTGGGTTGGTTTTTGCAGGTTCTTGCTTCTCCAACCACAGGAGCTCTTATTACAAACGAAAGCAATCATAAAAAAGAAATTGAGGAAGAGAAGAACAACAACAGCAACATTAACTACTTCGATTTCTCATTTCAGACACAATCATTAGCTGTTTCTGCTCCGACAACAACAGCAACATCAACAAACAGTTCTATCTTTCAGTCAGAGGTATATTCCTCACTCCTCAATAGCTCCATGTTCAAATCCCTTTTCTATTCAAATTTATTTACATGTTTTTGTGTTTCAGGAGCAACAGAGGAAGAACCAATCAGATCAATGGAGCCAAACTCTAAATAACAACAACACTCATCAAGCTGTATCTTACAATGGAAGGGAGCAAAGGAAAGGAGAGGATGGTTACAACTGGAGAAAGTACGGTCAGAAACAGGTGAAAGGGAGTGAGAATCCTCGGAGTTATTACAAGTGTACTTTCCCAAGTTGTCCAACCAAGAAGAAAGTGGAGAGATCTTTGGAAGGACAGATCACAGAGATTGTGTATAAAGGAAGCCATAACCATCCAAAACCTCAGTCCACTAGAAGATCATCTTCTTCTTCGACTTTTCATTCAGCTGTGTTCAATGCTAGCCTTGATCATCATGGTTCTTCCAATAATAGCTTCAGTCACTCTGATTCCCTTGCAATCCAGCAAGATGATAATACTACTTCTGGTTCTGTTGGAGACGATGAGTTTGAGAGAGGCTCATCGGTTATCAGCAGAGGAGATGAAGAAGATTGTGGGAGTAAACCTGAAGCAAAGAGATGGTATAAGATCATCTTCATCACCCGCTAAAGTTGCCTAATCTTTAAACAATCTTGAATCAATATCTAACATGTTTGTGTGTTTTCAGGAAAGGAGAAAGCGAAACTAACGGTGGGAATGGTAATGGAAGCAAGACAGTGAGAGAGCCAAGAATTGTTGTGCAGACAACAAGTGATATCGACATTCTTGACGACGGTTATAGATGGAGAAAATACGGTCAAAAAGTCGTTAAAGGAAACCCAAACCCAAGGTAATAACATAAAACACTCTTGTGAATATCATAATCAAGACTCCAATAATCTAACATTTCATCACTTAATATGGGTTTAACAGAAGCTACTACAAGTGCACAACCATCGGATGTCCAGTGAGGAAACATGTTGAAAGAGCATCACAAGATCTGAGAGCGGTAATCACAACGTACGAAGGGAAACATAACCACGACGTACCAGCAGCTCGTGGTAGCGGATACGCCACAAACAGAGCGGTACAAGACCCTTCTTCAGCACCAATTAGACCAGCTGCTATAGCTGGTCACTCCAACTACACTACTTCTTCAAGAGCACCATATACACTTCAGATGCTGCAAAACAACAACAACACTAATGCAGGGCCTTTTGGTTACGCTATGAACAACAATCACAACAACAACAACAAAACTCAAACGCAACAAAACGACTTTGTTGGTGGATTCTCTAGAGCAAAAGAAGAACCAAACGATGAATCCTCCTCGTTTTTTGATTCGTTCTTGTCTTGAAGAAGAAAAGGGAGTCTGTTCATAGTGAAAAGGGTTTAACTACTTACTAGTGATCCTGCAGATACATAAGACTATATAGTCTATAGTCCATAGAGAAAATTATTTCATTTGTTTTTTTTTTTCATTAGCTCATGCGAGAGCTTTCACACGCCTGTAATATTATACTATCTTTAGTCTTCTTGTGTACCATAGAACTAGAAAAATGGAATAAAACCAATCAATTTCTCACATGCTTTCATGAACTTATATTCTGATGAACATGAACGATAAGATTACAAGTTCACATATTGAGTGTGATAGCATCTACTACTATACTAGTACCAACACAATGAACCGGATTATTGCGATTACTTAAAATACTTTTTTAGCTTCCAAAGTATCACACATAAAAAGAATTGACATTTACACGTATCACAAAGACCAACACGGTAATATAAAACAAACAACTGAAGCAGAAAGAGAGGCTTAAGCAGCAAAAGATTCAAACAAAAGAATGAGTAGAGAGTTTGTATCCAGAGAAGAGAGCAGAGAGAGCTAAAGAAACAAAGGCCAAAACAGCCATAGCGATAGCCGAAGCAGCAGAGTCAGTAAAAATATTATCTTGACCTTCTCTGAATCTATTAGTCAACGGAATCGCAGAGGAAGCAGCTGATATGAGCAGATACGCCACAATCTACAAAAACAGAAAATTTTCATTAAAAGATTATAATTTTAAACTTTAAAACATGAAAATAAGCTTCTTCTCTCTACATTACATTACCTGGTCACCGGAGAAACCGACCAAGACTGATGTCCGGCGATCAAAAAACTCTCTTTTCGAGAAATGCACGAACGTCTGCCACGCAGTGTATAGCGTTGAGAAGATGGAGATGGCTACTAAGTATCTGTACTCTTCGTAGTCGTCGAAGTTTCTACCGGGACCGTGTTTGTTGGAGACCATGATTAGGAAGGCGAGGAGGGAGAAGAGGAGAGATAGTCCTCTCGTGATCGGTGATGCTTTCTTTATCGTGTCTTCTCTTTTCCATCTCTGAGTGATCGCCGAAAACGTCTTCGTTTCAGTCGCCGGCGCTGCCACCTCGACGTCGGAAGGTTCTTCAACCGGTTTCTGGTTATCGGGATTTGTCGTCATGCTGGTTTGATATCGGAGGTATGATCGGAACCGGTTAATGTGAAGATAAGGGAGGGCTTCTAGATTTTGGTGTTTGGTAGGCGTAGTTAATTGAGGAAAGCGCGTGATTGAGGTAATGAAATGTGATTAGCAAAGGCGCAAGCCGCGTAAGCACCTAACATTTTGTTGCAAGTTAAATGTGGGTTGGAATATGAGACAGCGATGTCTGAGGTTCTTATGTGATGACTGAGATGATTATTTTATTTTCGATTTAGCTTTACAGGGAAGTTTCATCTTTAACTGCCTTTACCCACCAAATTGAAGTTGATGGAGGTTTTACTCCTTCGTAAAAAGAGAATCAAGCACGGTGAAAAGTAAAAGAGTGACTGGAATCAGGGTCGGATCCAACGACTTAATGAATATGGGGCACATTATAAAGAATATTTACAGGGTATGTAGATAAGTTGTAAAGCTAATTACTAATTACTGTAGAAAATACAAAATTTAGTGGGGGTGGGGCAAGTGCCACACCTAAGTTTCTTCTGCGCCCTCCCCTAATTGGAAATCATGTGAAAGAAGATCATTGAGTCTAACTGGGTCGTTAAAACATGATTATATTTTGATCAGGTTTTATTCTCAAGATATTCCTTAAAAGATTATGAGATGATGTATTAACATCTGCATGGTCAATACATTGTTTCTTTTTTTGAACTCATATATTAAATATAACTGCAAGAGTTAGTTAGGAGCCATAAATGAATCCCCACCAACCAAAGATTCAACTACAATCAAAGATTATGAGATGATGTATTCTCAAGATATTCCTTAAAAGATTATGAGATGATGTATTAACATCTGCATGGTCAATACATTGTTTCTTTTTTTGAACTCATATATTAAATATAACTGCAAGAGTTAGTTAGGAGCCATAAATGAATCCCCACCAACCAAAGATTCAACTACAATCAAAGCATCTTTTGCTAAAGAGTCTGCAATTGTATTTTTAGCCCTAGGAATCCAAACAAAAACAAACGACTCAAAGCCAGCCGACAACTCAAGGATATCAAACACCACACCGTGTAGCTCCACCACCGGATCTCCAGAGCGGAGGCATTGTATCAACTGAGTAGAATCCGACTCGAACCTAACCTTCTGAAACGACAGCCTCTTGCAGGACAACACAGCTTCTCTAAGTGTTAAAGCTTCTGCCATTAACGGAGATGCCACAAACTCCACCTGTACTTGAAAGACTCTATGTTGGGGCAGCGACAAGATGGTCCATCCCAGCCCTGCTACTCGCGCCACAGAGTTCCATGCTGCATCAGACTAAATTGTTAAGGTACCAGTAGCTGAAGCCTCAGCCTTTTCTTTCTGACTTCTCTTACCTTGTCTCTCCGGTTTACTATTAATACACCACTCACGCGCTATATTAATAGCAGACGATAGAGTATCCTCCGGTGAAACTACAAAGCCATCAAACGCAAATCGATTTCTGACTTTCCAAATAGCCCACAACAGCCAAGGAAACATATCTCCTGAGGCAATCCCTGAAGGGGGTAAACAAAGTTGCTCAATCATCACTGGCCACATCGCTGTCAAATCTATCGTTCCGCTATAGTCCAGCTCAGTTACAAAAGGGGAGATGCTCCAGATTTTCTGAGCAAACTGACAATGGAAAAGAAGGTGAAGGATAGATTCATTGCAACCGCATCTCTTACACTTTGGATCTGCATTGATGTGTCTTTCAACAAGGCGTTCACCGACGGGAACTACTCCTTTTAAGACTTTCCACGAGAAAAGCTTGACCTTGGGGACACAATCCAAGCTCCACACATGCTTTGACCAATTAAACTCTGTTTCTGTAGTCAAAGGATTGTCCTCACTCTCAAACGCTACGAAGTACCTTGATTTAACGGAGTATTCGCCTGAAATTGTTCCCAACCAAATTAGCTTATCAGGAGCCCATGTTATGCTAGGCTTCAGACATAAGATTTGATCTTCATAACCCGGGAGCAGTAGCTGAATTTTATTGCGATCCCATTGCTTTCCACCACTCATCATTAGCTCCGCAACAAGCATCTCCGACCCCTGCTCAGTAGGTGGTCCCATTGGTCTCTCCTGCCTGCTACAAATCCGCCAAGGGTCCTGCCAAACCTTAATGGATTTACCATCACCTAGCGCCCAACCTATGTTTTTCAGGAGGATTTCTCGGCCTATTAGGATGCTCCGCCAGCCGTGCGACATCGTAGATAGCTCAGTTGCTTCCAGGAAGTCACAAGCGGGAAAGTATTTTCCTTTGAGCACTTTGCCGAGGAGACCATAAGGATTGTTTAGCAGTCGCCAACCGATTTTTGCCAAGAACGCATCATTATAAGTTTGAACATCTCTCATTCCTAACCCTCCACATGCCTTTGGCTTAGCTAATTTATCCCATGAAACCCAGGCCATCTTTTTTGTATTCTCATTATTATCCCACCAGAAGCGCGTAAACACTGATTAGATACGCTTACACAGAGAAACTGGGAGCTTGAAACATGTCATTAAGTACGACGGAACAGGAGACAGCACGCTCTGCAGCATAACAAGCTTTCCGGCTGAAGAAAGAAGTTTTGTGGACCAACTCTGAGCCTTTTGTTTGTTTCGATCCACTATGGAGGAGAATAAGTCACGCTTTTTCCTCCCAAACAGTTCCGGTAAACCTAGGTACTTTCCGGATCCCCCCTCCTTCTGAATACTTAAGGCAAGTTTGATTGGATCTTTAATAGACGCATGGGTGCGGTGAGAAAAGGTGATCGCTGACTTGTCGGGGTTAATAGACTGACCCGACGCCCCTTCCTAGCTTCGCAGGATGTCTTTGAGTGCTTCACAATTACTCTCATTAGCATTGACAAAGAACATGGTGTCATCGGCGAAGAGGAGATGATTGACTCGGGGGTAGCCTCTAGATACTTTTATACCCTGTAGGAGTCCTTCCTCTTGCGCTCTGTTACATAAACCCGAGAGAACTTCACTACACATTATGAATATGTAGGGAGAGAGGGGGTCGCCTTGGCGAATGCCTCTGCTCGGTACTACCTTCCCTCTAGGCAAACCGTTAATGAGGAAGGAGTATGTAACATATAAGATGCACTGTAGTATCAAGCTAATAAAATTTCGGTGGAAACCCAACCGAGCTAACACCAGCGCTATGAAATCCCACTCGAGTCGGTCATAGGCCTTACTCATGTCAGTTTTGACTGCCATGGCACAACGCTGCTCTGCTTGTGAGGTCTTCAGATAATGTAGCACTTCATGGGTGATAAGCACATTGTCTCCAATAGCCCTTCCCGGTACGAACGCTGACTGATTTTCCGAGATCAGCTTGTCCATAAAAGGCTGGAGCCTCCTCGTCAGGATTTTGGAGTAGATTTTGTAATAAACATTACACAAGGCGATTGACCGGTAGTCCGCCACTTTCTGTGGATTTGTGATCTTAGGGATGAGGCGTATATTTGTGGCGTTTATTCCATCCGGCAAAGGCGCTCCAGAGAAGAAAGCCTGAACCTCAGACACTATATCCGGACCAATTTTCTCCCAATGCGTGTGAAAAAAGGCCGCTGAGAACCCGTCGGGGCCAGGGGCTTTTTCACCATGGATGGAAAAGGCTGCTGCTTTGATCTCTTCCGGTGTAGGGATGCTACCGAGCACATCATTATCCTCAGTCGTCAGTAGAGGTCGCAGGCCTCGATTTACCGCATCAACCCTCTCACCAAGAGTGGAGGTAATAGCTTCTCAGAGTACTCTCCAATAGCCATTGTTATTTCATCTTCTTTATAAACCACACTCCCATCTTCTTTTTCTATCACCGAGAAAGCGTTTCTTCTCCTTCTGTTTTAGAAACTGCATGAAAAAGCCCGTGTTCCGGTCTCCTAGCTTCAGCCAAAGGAAGCGACTTCTTTGTTTCCAAAACTCTTCTTCTGCGTTGTATATGCTGCGGTCAGTGCTTCAGATATCTCTTTGATCAAATTAGAGTCTTCAACCGGTTTTGACAGGGCATCGTTTAATTCAATTTTCTTTTTCTCAGTAATCTTGCTGCTATTCCTTTGCTGCGTACGGTTCCAGGCCGAGATAGCGCTCCTGGTAGAAGTCAGCTTCTCCGCAACAGAGGCGTGGGGGTCGCCTAACCAGGCCTCAGTTATTACCTTTTTTGCTTCTTCGTTGCTGCATAAACGCCTATCGTAACGGAACATCCCTCGTCTCCGTCGTCCACCCTTATCAAAGAAAGATATCAGGGGTTTATGATCTGAACTCTCAAAACCAAGATATTGGCATCTTGATGAGGGGAAAAGCTCCGCCCAGCGAGTGTTGGCAGCCGCTCTGTCCAGTCTACACCGGACCACGTAATCTGATCTTTTTCCTCTCCATGATAGCGGGTCACCCGTATGTTGTAGATCGAAGAGATCACCTTCTGAAAAGAAGGTTCAGAGTGCAGAGAAGGAACCTTCAGGTCGGTCCGTTCCTCCATCTTTTTCTTCGCTACAAAGAATGTCATTGAGGTCTCCCGTAATGAACCACGCATCATCGCGAGCCAGAGAAAGACTAAGTAAATGATCCCAAAGCTGGAGCCTCAGCTTGTGATCAGTATTGCCGTACACAAATGAGGAATATAAACGCTTCTCTTCAAACTCAATAACAGTATCAATTACATTAGCACAAGAGTTTAGAATTTGCAGCTTGAGCTCTTGCTTCCAAAGGAGAGCTAAGCCTCCAGCTCCATGGCCAGTCGGAGGCACCAAGTGATTACACTCATATCGGAGGTGTTCGAGTTTTTTTAAGAAGAACATCGTTGGGGTTTTTTGTTTCCATAAGGAAGATGACGTCTGGATCGAACTTCTTAGTGATCTTTTCCAATCTTCGAACTGTTCTAGGGTTCCCCAGCCCTTGACAGTTCCAGCTTGCTACAGCTAAGGAACGGGGTTGGGTTGGATCCGAAAATCCACCCTACACCGAACTGTCGGCGGCACCATATTGCAGAGGGGAAGGTTTTCCGAAGCTGTACCTTCTTGCTCTCCCGGGATACCATCACTGCTAACCTCCTTTCCT